CTTTAACTTCAACAAGTAGTAAAGGCAGTCTCAAACTCTTCCCTAAGAGGTACTCTTTGTATGTTGTAAAAGGCATCTAGTGCAACTTCAGGCAAGGAACACAAAAGTATTTTGCATGAGGAAACTTGTCTGATATTGACATTTACTGTCATTTTACCGTGGTCCTGATACTGTCTGAAACAATGCTTAAGTTAAAGTGTGAACTTGTGTTATTTAGTCTGTGTATAGTTGAGAAAAATCCACACGGCAAAATCGGTCGTATGTAACAGGCTGAATATAAGTTCTAAACGGGACATATACGGCTCCAGATGTCTTACTGAGGGGCGACTGAAGTATGCTAGATGCCAGTTAGCTTGCAGATAGATGAGAAAACAGATCCTATATCAAGAATACGATTGCAAATCAATGCTTATGTATCCTGTAATGTTCCAGACAGATTTGAAAGGCTGAAATTGAAGATTGATGCGATAACCTTCAACGTGAGCCGAACTACTCTGAGTCTGAACAACATGGCGGCGAAGGGTCTGCCGAAAATACCGGATGTTCCCCTACCCAGTCCAACTTCTCCCAACACAACACCTACACCTACACCTACACCTGGTGAGGCTTAAGGTCATTATGTCTTCTATAGATGGTCGCAAAAAAGGCAAATGTTGAGGGTCCGGCACAATGGCTTATTGGTTTATTGGTCAAACATTACCCGTGCAATCACCGCCTTTTGAAGGGCTAAATTGATGCAGGGTTTAGAATTACGTAATACACATAATACATGCCGCTACGCCAAACGATCCCACACTTCATCATTTGTGTGCCCTGTGTTTAGAAAACTGAATTTTTATCTAATCTGCTAACATGCATTCGCAAATTTCCAGTTTTGACTACAGCCCAAGTCAAAGACTGTATGGAAGGTGATGGGGCATCCTACCGAGGAACAGTCTCTGTGACCGAAACAGGCAGGACATGTCAACGTTGGGACAGTCAGACACCGCATGAACACACCAAGACCGCTGCTAACTGGCCTTCATCAGGGTTGGAACAAAACTACTGCCGGAATCCTGGCCACGAACCTACCCTCTGGTGCTTCACCACGGATCCCAGGAAGAGATGGGAGTTCTGTGATGTACCACACTGTGATGGGCATCTCGGTAAGGTTTTGAGTTTTTTTTTTATAGAGTTCCACGATCACATACCTTTGGCGGATGATGTTAATAAGATTGAACTCGTTATGAATATTTCTCACCAAGATCCTCGTTAGCAATTGAATTTAAAATTTGATCATATTCTCAACTTAAGGACAGAGGCTATTTAAGTATTTACTAATTCTACTTTTTTCAGCCGTCTCCAGAAGCCTGGTCGAGGCAAGAAGATTTCCATTTCCTTGAAATGCTGACTCTTAAATATTTCGTGTTTGGTTCCTTTTTTTGAACAGCATGGCGCAAAGATTATCAATGCGGGGCAGGTTACCTGGCAGAAAACGGACAACCTGCTATATGTAACCCTGATGGCCCATTTCCCTGCTGCTCCAATCGCAATTGGTGCGGCATAACTTCAGATCACTGTGAGTGTAGTGGCTGTGTTGACTACAGGGGTGAAGGTATGTTATAATTACCTTCGTGTGTGTGTTTTTGTATGTGTATGTGTGTGTGTGTGTGTGTGTGTGTGTGTGTGTGTGTTTGTGTGTGTGTATGTGTGTTTTCCTGTGTCGTGTGTTTGTGTGTAACCTCAAGATCAAGTTTAGGTGGATTGTATTGATATTTACTTGGTAAATAGGTCTAGATGAGACATGGAAATGGTTAGATGTTTGTTCCCTCCCCCTAACATCTTATGGTTATGGTACTACAGCTGAACTTCAGACAATTATCGGACCTCGAATCCACACAAAAGAGAGCAGAATCATCCTTTGGGAACAACAACCTTTTTACTACTTTTGAAGCATGCTTAGCTTATCCGGAGTCCATATTAGTAAAAGCCATTTGGTGAACTGAGATACACATATTCAAAACATGACATGGAGGTTAGGATTGGTCAGCCATGGAGTGCCGTACACTATTACCAAACAGTCTGGAAATCTTGTATTAGGAAGCCTTATTATAGGAACAAAAACTTGTAAAGTATCTCAATCCTATGTTGTTACAATTTTGCTGCACGGCTGTGAGTCGTGGATTATGAACACTTCGCAGGCCAGAAAAGCAGAAGGCACATATACCAAGATGCGTTCTGTGTACATTGTAAGTACCTTCAATTTGGTGGAAATACACCATAAACAAACAAACAAACAAACAAACAAACAAACAAACAAACGAACAACTTTACGGGTCCCTCCTACCAAGCTCAACTGAACACTGTTAGTGTGTTTTCTGTACCTGTATCTGTATAGCCGGTATAACCGCCTTTCGGCGTATACGCGTAACACACCAGCTTTGAATAGCGTATTTCATTCCATGAACAGTTTAAAGTTCATCACTCACTTTATAAGTAACTTCTTAAATAAATCCTTTTTTTGTTCTATTTCAGGTTGTTTCTCCTCTTTCCAGCACGTCCCAAGGTCTGATTGTGGACGAAATGGTGAATACGACATAGCAGTCTACGGCCCAGCCGTCAGCGCCCATTACTGTATAGTCGCATGTTGTCAAAACAAGGCATGTCTGTCGGTTCAGCACAACACAAATAACTACTGTTCTCTAAAAAATAAGCGTTGCTCTTCCGGTGAAAAAACATATTCATCAATGGGCAACATGTATGATCGGCCTCCTTCGTAAAGGATGTGTCTACCTAAGGCCACAGCAAGTAATTTTTATGGATGACATCGCTATCAGCGCGCGCATTAATTTTCGTCTGATTTGGGAAAAAAAAGAAATTTTGTTGCTCTCTGACAGTAATCAACATGCCAAAATGGACAAAATTGTCTGTTGCCATGCCGGAACGTGGGTGGCAGATAAATTTGGAGTGAGAAGGCAAGGCTCTGATTTATTATGTTATTTTTTACTTTACTAATCAGCGCACTGTGAGAATAGTAGTGTGTATCACATTTGTTCCATAGTTGGGTGTAGAGGTGCCTCATACCATATAAATAAAAACCAAGTACATGTCAGGAGGGGTAACTGGCTGAATGAAACAAGAAATTACGCAACTTTTTACTGTACGTCACCGCTTATTAACTTAATATTAGCTAGTAACAGCTAATATTACAGAATATATCTTCTCCATTGGAAAGAGATCATAATACATTATGATTGTGCATCTAAGTCGAGAAGATCCAAAATTGTAGAAGAAAAAGAACTATCTGATTATAATTAACAGCGCCTTGTTGTTGTTTTTCTACAATTAACGATCTCATTATGAAAAAATTTGACGTTTTTAGTATTTGTCTTTTAGAAAGTACTTAAAATGACTTAATGTTGATTGATGCATGTGTGTACATCACGCTTGGCTATTTTGGTAACTCCACCCATTTCTGAATGCAACACTTTGACATTCTCATTTGAATTCCTTTAAAGTAAGTATGGGAAGTTCTATAGCACTGAATTTCGTAACCACAACTGTTTGAGGTTGTTTAGAGTTCTCTCATCGACTATCTAAATGTAATTTCACAATGTATTAAAATTCTGTTGGCAATCAACGGATTGACTAAAGTTGTTTGTTTTCTTTTCTATGCTTTCCAATATGTTTGAAAATTCAATATTTTGATTATCTTTCGAAATTTTTAAGTAATGTAGATAAAGCAATGGTTCGATCTTTTTGCTGAGACAAGAGGATATTTAGGTTGATGAGGTGTATGTTGGTCATTGACCTCCGAAAGAGAGGTCATTAAGCTCCTGACGAGAGAGCTTTTGTAACACAGGCTACAATGTTGTCAGCTTCGCATTAAGAATCCCAAATTGGGTTTCTTGGCAAAAAGGGTTTTAAGGTTATCGAAACAACCTCCAAAAGTACCTCCCCTAATCCCCTTTAATTGGAGTGAAATGTTTTCAACAAAGAGACTTTCTCAAATGCAATTTCAAGTGCAAGAAACGCGTTAACGAAAAAAAAGAAACAAGTTGGTGACTGACATCATGACTTAATTAGCACCGTTTTAACACGAAATCAGGGAACAATGCACACATCACTGGATTTGCCACTCCTAATATAATGAGATCGTCTAGCTTAGCTTTTCTTAGGCACTTTTAGCAGTCGATAGATAACTTTCAAGTGTTCAGTGTGTGAAGTAAGCTTAACTAGATGTAAGTCCAAACGTTTGGTTTTACTCAGCCAACTTATCAGGAGTTTTCTTATAAAACATACAGTCAAGTACCATTTTGCCAGCTTATAGATGATGGGTGGTAACAAATGTATCCGAATAACCCTGGTGTTGGTGATTTGGGTTCTGTGTCTGGGGAAGGAAGGTCAGACATTACTGACAGTACAGCAAGCCGAGCACTTTACAAGTAAGTACTACATATCTGTGCCATTGGTGTGTGCTTCACTCTATACTTTGAACATACTGGCAGTACAGCAAGCTGGGTGACTTAAGAATAAGTACTAACGTTACATGCCTCCGCCGTGCCTCTTTGTATGTTGTAAAAGGCATCTAGTGCAACTTCAGGCAAGGAACACAAAAGTATTTTGCATGAGGAAACTTGTCTGATATTGACATTTACTGTCATTTTACCGTGATCCTGATACTGTCTGAAACAATGCTTAAGTTAAAGTGTGTACTTGTGTTATTTAGTCTGTGTATAGTTGAGAAAAATCCACACGGCAAAATCGGTCGTATGTAACAGGCTGAATATAAGTTCTAAACGGGACCTATACGGCTCCAGATGTCTTACTGAGGGGCGACTGAACTATGCTAGATGCCAGTTAGCTTGCAGATAGATGAGAAAACAGATCCTATATCAAGAATACGATTGCAAATCAATGCTTATGTATCCTGTAATGTTCCAGACAGATTTGAAAGGCTGAAATTGAAGATTGATGCGATAACCTTCAACGTGAGCCGAACTACTCGGACTCTGAACAACATGGCGGCGAAGGGTCTGCCTAAAATCCCGGATGTTCCCCTACCCAGTCCAACTTCTCCCAACACAACACCTACACCTACACCTACACCTACACCCACACCTACACCTGGTGAGGTTTAACGTTATTATGTCTTCTATAGATGGTCGCAAAAAAGGCAAATGTTGAGGGTCCGGCACAATGGCTTATTGGTTTATTGGTCAAACATTACCCGTGCAATCACCGCCTTTTGAAGGGCTAAATTGATGCAGGGTTTAGAATTACGTAATACACATAATGTATGCCGCTACGCCAAACGATCCCACACTTCTTCATTTGTGTGCCCTGTGTTTAGAAAACTGAATTTTTATAATGTAATTATAATCTGCTAACATGCATTCGCAAATTTCTAGTTTTGACTAAAGCCCAAGTCAAAGACTGTATGGAAGGTGATGGGGCATCCTACCGAGGAACAGTCTCTGTGACCGAATCAGGCAGGACGTGTCAACGTTGGGACAGTCAGACACCCCATGGGCACACTACGACCGCTGCTAACTGGCCTTCATCCGGGTTGGATCAGAACTACTGCCGGAATCCTGACCACCAACTGACCCTCTGGTGCTTCACCACGGATCCCGGCAAGAGATGGGAGTTCTGTGATGTTCCACACTGTTATGGGCAACTCGGTAAGGTTTTGAGTGTTTGTCCCACGATCACATACCTTTGGCAAATGATCTTTATTCGTGACACTTCTACTTTTTCCAGCCGTCTCCTGAAGCCTGTTTGAGACTAGAAGATTTCCACGTCTTTGAAATGCCGAATCTTAAGTATTTCGTGTTTGGTTCATTTTTAACAGCATGGCGCAAAGATTATCAATGCGGGGCACGCTACCTGGCAGAAAACGGACAACCTGCTATATGCAACCCTGATGGCCCATTTCCCTGCTGCTCCGATCACAATTGGTGCGGCATAACTACAGATCACTGTGAGTGTAGGGGCTGTGTTGACTACAGGCTCCGGAGTGTAGGTATGTCATAATTACATTCACCAATAAGGTAATGTTATTCAGTAGCGTTATCTTTGTGTGTGTGTGTGTGTGTGTGTGTGTGTTTGGTCGTGTGTGCTTGTATGTGAACTTGAGATTAGGCTTTGATGGATTGTGATGATATTTAGTTGGTAGATAGGTCTAGATGAGGCCTCGAAATGGTTATCCCCTGATTCTTACATAATGAATGGTTTATTTATTTTCAAAACCAATGCCACAAACATTGCAGCCAAAACGACTGAATTGCGTTAGGACATTTAAAACTGGAATAGGGAAATGAATTATAAAAGCATATTTACATAAACAGGCATTACAATTCGAATATACGTACATTTGCAAATTGGGTAGAGACATGATTGGAACATATTTACATAAACATACAATGGTTATGGTACAAAATGGACCACCTGGCTTTTTCCAATGTAATTGTAGCGGGCTTTTTTAAGTTGTGCATTTGTTGATTGTAAGTATACAGCTTAAGTAGAAAATCTGTAAATGAATATCAATTACATCTGGAAGGGGATTTTTTCATGTCCAATCTTATGTACAAGTAATGTCATATTTTACGTACAGCTCAAACCAAAGACTGTACGGCAGGCGATGGAAAATTCTACCGAGGAACAGTCTCTGTGACCCGCTCGGGCAGGACGTGTCAACGCTGGAAACAGTCAGACACCACATAGTCACTCAAGGACGCCTTCCAACTACCCTGCATCCGGGCTGGACCAGAACTACTGCCGGAATCCTGACGGGGAAGATACCCTTTGGTGCTACACCACCGATTCCGGAAAGAGATGGGAGTTCTGCGATGTGCCATTCTGTGACGCACCATTTGGTAAGGTTTAAAATAGTTTTATAAATATAACCTTTTGATAAATACAGTTCCACGACCTCACACCTTCGCTAACTCATAGGAAATTCAAACTGTACTACTGGATAAATTACGGAGATGATATCCGGACGTTTCGAGTGGCATCCACCACTTTTCTTCAGCGTCACCGATGAACTAACAAAACTCGATAAGGCTCATATATTCCTTTTAAAGTTCTGTTAGTTAATTAGTGACGCTGAAGAAAAGTGGTGGATGCCACTCGAAGCGTCCGGATATTATCTCCGTAATTTATACAGTAGTACAGTTTGAATTTCCTATGAGTATTGTTTACCTGGATGTCTAACCTTCATCCACCCTGCTTTGCTAACGTTTACGACTGACAAATTATACATATCTCTTATTGATTAAGGTGCTCATTTGCATGAAGTATCATTTTATCATATTCTCAACCTACATGTACCTGACAGACACCATACTAGCATTTCCTTCTTGAACTATACAAATAAGTTCATGATTCGAAATTATGTTAATTGGATCGGTGTTTACATAATTCGCAAGCATCATTTGAGATACCTATACACCATTATAAATTAATTGAACCAGTATTCATGGTTTCTGAGTAATCATCTTAAAGTTGTGAAACAAATACCACTGTAGTTTCAGAGCAAACGGCCAGGAATATCTACATAAAAAAGGCTAATTAAATTTTTTCAAGGCAACTCTTCTCGTATCAACAGCGTTGTGCTCTCTTAGCGGGGGCAAGAGCCAAATTACAGTTGATAAAGCCCTGTTTTTTTTTCAGTTACCATAACAAATTAATGTTAACCGATGGACTCCATTGAAATGTATGTTGCTGAGAATCTCATTAGTGCTGTAAGCTGGCAATGACGCAAAACTTCAGGCTGGATTACACTTGCCCTGGCCTTACCTGTGTGGAAACATAGCTAGACCATACCATCAGAATATCACATTCCTTGTTCTAAGTTTGAGTACCAAGTCACATCTTTTTACGACTGAAAAGTATTGTTGAGGCCGTCATTTGCACGAAACATGTTAGTTGTTTGATATATTCTCAACGCAAAAACTAATGATTGCGTAACAACAGTCTTATGTTTAGAAAAAGGGCTATTCCAGCATTTTGGCGTCAATTATGCAGATCCTGATTCACATTAGCTACGTTTAACTATGTTCACCTACACCTTTATAAAATCCCTGATTATTATCTACTTTATCATTTATCTATCATTAGGTGAAGAATGCTTGGCCGAATCTAGCATCCTGGTGGATTGCGGTTGGGGTGGCATCACTTCAGAACAGTGTGGTCAGCGAGGATGCTGCTTCGATGATTCAATACATGGATCAACATGGTGTTTTTACAGTTTGGAAGTTAACAGAGGTAGGCCAAATTATTAGACAATATCTGTATGATCTTCCTCCCTCTCCTCTACTTAGCATTGTTTTTTATTTGTTCTTTATATGTTTCCTTTTATGTTTATTTTGTATCCTTCCATTTTCATAGAATTTCTATTCGGTAAAATTAGATGTTAGCTTCTCAGCACCTGACTAATAAATGTTATTTCAAATGTTATGTTTACTATCATAATGTTTATTCTTTTCAGATTGATCTCAACTGATCCATGTTTACTGGTGTTTGGTGGCGCCATAGATCTTTGAAAAGCTTTCAGAACTATGTGTTAACTTTGTTCTCCACTTGTCTATTAATTTCCTTGCATCAAAAACCTTAAGCTTGCTGTTTATGTTTTATTTTTTGGACATCTATTTTTAAATACATGTCAAAAAGAAAGTTTCCAACATTCAAGTTAAAGATTCCACGTTGGAAATATACCTAAACAATGTCTTTAGATTTGTAATTGGTCAAGTTGTTATTACAGGTAGATGTACTTTGTATGATCACTACATTATACAGCACATGTAAGCATTAATATAGCTAAGATGAATGACAATGCCAGTTGATGGTTGATTGACCTTTGTAATTATTTTTGTTGTCACACAAAAGATTTAGATATAAATAGCCTTTTATCAAATGTCGTTTATTGTTTTTGCAGCTCCAACTAATCATACAGTCAACTACATTTATGTGATTACCAAGAAGCGAGAGGAAGTCAAAGGAGCTTGTGTATTTTAGACGTTTATGTTTACATTTATATACTTTGTTATACTAGTACTTTGTGACGTGTGCTTAGCTTAGTGGGGCAAAATGTACAATAAAGGTCTTCATTCATTAACATTTTCCACATGACAAGTAGCTAGTAGAAAAGGAGAGAGAACAGTACAGGTTACATCACAAGCGCTCATCCCAAAGATACACATCAATAAAATTAACATTGATTAACATTATTCATTATACATCATAAGAAAGAATAAGTGAATTTATTTCAGTATTTACAGTCAACAAGGTGTACCAGGGCCTTAAAGCCAAACATGCAGCGCGTTTACAGGCTGATTACCATGTATACTGATTGTTGAAAAATGCTCCTGAAACCTGTGTAATAATATTATGTCCATTGTACAGTATGCTTTATCCGCTATGTGTTACATTTTATCCCTATGTGTGTAAACAGCTGTGCGTTGCATTTGTAATTGTAATTGTAATTCTATTTTGTAACCAGGCCCAACAATTCAGCCTAATGCATCTAGGCTGCCAGTGGGGCCTGGGGTTTATTTGTTCAACAACAATAAACCGGTCTATTGGCCTTTCCTAGAATAAAAAAAAGAAATAGTAGTTTCTTCAGAAAAAGGGCAGAGATGTTACAGATGCTGCAGATAAGATCTAGATGAAAGCATTCCCTATATTGAATTAGTTTTTTTCTCTACCACACCAACACACTGGTTTCTAATGAATATACCACGGATGACCATACTGTTAAAAATCGCCATGCCTCTATTTGATATACATTGGTAATGTCTTCTATGATCTGGTAAATTTTATCAAGTAAGATAATGGTTCAGTTTTTTCTGAGACAAGAGGATCTGTGAGACGTAACCTAAGACTACCTGCGTGGTAGACTGCGTCAAAGGCCTTTGAAGTGTTTGTAAAACCTCAAAGACCCCTGAGCTTGATTTGAGTGCTTGGTTGAATCTTAGGACGAGTATGGGTATTTTTAGGTTTATTTCATTACAGGATACACATTCTGGTAAATGGAGACGAAATCATCTGAAACGAGAAAACAGACTCGCGTCACACGAATAATATCACTTTACAAAGAGCCACAAGGTTATCTCAACAGCCTGTCAAAAGTAACTCGCATAATACCCTTCAATTAGTGTAAAAGGTTCCGTGCATTTAGACTGTCTCAAGTGTCCTTTTTAAGTGCAAGAAACTACAAATTGTGTGATTGACGTCATGGGTTAATTTGCAGTATTTCAACACAAGGACGGATAGCAATACACAGATTATTCAATTTGCAGCTTCTAACCTTTTAGTCGTTATTTGATGCTTTTAGCCTTGGGTAAATCGTAAACAAGACTAACGACTTTAAGGAAAGAGAGTGTAATTTTACCAGTCTGAATCCAAGAACTCTCTGTATCACACGAGTCAGGTTTGGTTCTAAAGTCTTCTTGTAAAAGAAAAAATACATCTGTCACGTACTTCTGAATCCACTGATGAATGATGGGTGGTAAAAACTGTATTTATGTGATCCTGGTGATTTTACTTTACGTTCTGTGTCTGAGGAAGGAAGGTTCTGCTCTGACTGTGCAACAGGCTGAGCAACTAAAAAGTAAGTACTACATTCTCTGTCGTTGTAGTGTCTCGTGAAGATGCAAAGTTTTCATTACTACATTACGAGTTACTGTACTGTTGTAAGTTTTTCAAATGAAATACAGCTGGACGCGAGTAACCACCGTAATAATAATATTAATAGAGTAACGTTTTTCTACCATTAGTTATATTGAATAGGCTAGAATATGTTACTGTGTGATGTACTAAGTCACGTGCAAATACTGTATCCGAAGTGATTCGTAGCTGACACTGGTCCTGATGTTTTTCTTTGTAATCACTGGTCAAATATCAAAGGTTCCCTCAATTTCAGGGTAGTAAAAGAAAAGTCAATTTCCTGGTAATTTTATTCGTATCAATTAGTTAATAAACTGAACCCTATCACATAGCGTGCTGATATTTGTGAGGGAAAAATGTGATGTCGCTGATGGAAAAAGTTTGCTTGTTTTATCCCGTAGGCTGGTTTAGTTAACGTTAAGAAAAACATTATCGGCTCTTTATACACGTAGGTTGTTTTGAGGCTATTTAACGTTTATTTGAGGTAGCCATAAAAAATGACAAAAATGTACAAAGAGATGGCAGCAAATGTTAATATCGGACAGGTTATATGGCTTTAAGAATAGAATCATTGGCAGTTGCAGAAGAATGCTGACAGGCGTATCCCTGTAATGCTACAGACAGACTTGAAAGGCTGAAATTGAAGGTCGAAGCGGTAAACATCAACGTAGCCCGAACTGCCAGGACTCTGAACAACATGGCGGCGATAGGGCTTCCTAAGATCCCGGATGTTCCCCTACCGAGTCCAACTTCTGCCAACACACCTACACCTGGTGAGGCATCGATGACATTATGATTTCTAGATCGTAGCGAGAGAGTTCACTGTGAGTAATAATGAGCGCCAAACCTCTGCTATGTGTTGGTATTGAAGCTCACAGTTTTCAAATCAATAGAAATGGAGGTATTGTGTTAGGTATGTGTCTATGTCTGTGTTTCCACATAGATCTGAAAGGCATGGAGTAAGTGATGGTGTTTGACATGTTTCTAGGTCTTGGGAAGATAAATGTCAAGGTCACCTCAGCAGAACTTTCAAACATCTTTTGTCCTGGTCTTGCAATGGTTTTCATGAATTGAATTGTAATATATAGCTAGATTTTTATGACAGGTAAAAAGTGATGTAGGTTAGTTCCCCCTAGCAGGTTGTCTAGAACTGCAAGGGCGTTTTTGTAAAACCGTCTAAAGAAGAAAGGAAACCATGCAACTAGGGGCATGTAGATAGCTCACAGATAGATGAGTTAGGCATATGAGATCTTTATTTTTATAATTGATACATGTACAAGAATTCTATAATTATGGTGTTCAAAATAGGACTGCGATTCATGTAGCATATGTAATCTATTACGTGTGAATCATTAACAGATACCATTCCTAAAATAAGAAAATATTATGAATTCTTAGTGGTAAATAATAGGAATTACATACTCTGAAATGTAAAATTGACTTCACATGTGAGTTAATATAATCAATGATAATAATATTATCTTTTCCCAAAACGACAAATAAAATACAAACATGTAATTTCAGAGAAGACATGTCAAGTAATTAAAAATGTGCAAATAACTTATTTTCATAATGAATGAGACACAATAAAACAAAACAATGTACAGAAGATTTAAGTTTCTGATTCAGTCATGAGGAATATCAATATTTTTCGAATTTAGTGATAATCTCCTAACATACATGTGCAAATGTTCAGTTTTGACTACAGCCCAAGACGAAGACTGTAAAGTGGGTTACGGGGACACCTACCGAGGAACAGTGTCTGTGACCTACTCTGGCAAGACGTGTCAGCGCTGGGACAGGCAGACACCTCATAGCCACGACAGGACGCCCGCCAACCACCCATCCTCCGGACTGGACCAGAACTACTGCCGGAATCCTTACGGCGCGTCTAGCGTCTGGTGCTACACCACGGATCCCGGCACGAGAACTGAATTCTGTGAGGTGCCGTTCTGTAAAGATTCACTCGGTAAGGTTTGATTCTGTATGCTTAAGATTATCCATACTTAGTAAATTAAAGTGGAATTCTGCCAACGAAGAGATAGGACTTTCACACACACATTATGTATAACATCAGTAGAGGATAACAAGCATATTACAAAATATATTTCTGATTACAACCATAATAAATGAATTAAAATAACACTTTTAAAAAGAAGTTTGAAACAGAAAGAGGGAGAGGGAGTAGCTAATTTGATTGTTGCTTTGCTTTCTCAACAAACTCAAAGTTCTCATCTTCTCTTCAAGCAGCCAGTCTCAGACCATTTTTCCACCTCAGAGCAAAAATATTTTCAGTTTATATACAGCTTAATCATAATTTTCAAGATAACTCTAATCAGAGACATTTTGGTCACATTGCCGAATATTTAATCGAACCCTCATAGGACAAACGTATTTCCATGATAAATCCGGCGAAGCCAAGCAACACAGTCTTGATATTCTTGAAATATTTTATAGAGGTATGAGGTTTCGTTTTTTTTACCAAGACTGTAAGGTAGGCAATGGAGCATTCTACCGAGGAACAGTGGCTGTGACCCGCACGGGCAGGACGTGTCAACGCTGGGACAGGCAGACACCTCATAGCCACGACAGAACGCCTGCCAACTACCCTGCATTCGGGCTGGAGCAGAACTACTGCCGCAATCCTGACGGCATATCCACCCTTTGGTGCTACACCACGGATCCCGGCACGCGATGGGACTACTGTGATGTGCCACTCTGTAATCCGCCATTCGGTAAGATTCGATACTAGTAATTAGTAATTATTAAAAAAAAAAATTAAAATGGAATTCTACCAATAGAGCTTACATTATATGTAACAGATATTATATGTAACTCCAGTACAGAAAAACATCAATTATAGCATATATTCCAATTACAACAGCACGGTGAATGAATCATCACAGCAAAATTAAAAGCAAAATAATTGGACAGCCTCATTACTTTTTTTTACCATTGTTATGCTTAAAACTATCGATATAGTATCTTTTGCATACACACAAATGTCACAAAACCGCTTTTTTTACGATCTAAGTTAGTCTTTCTCAAGGTTTATGCAAAGAAATAGGATTATTCCAGCGTCAATTTCTACAAAACATATACCATTCAGTGCGACAGTTCTCTGTAAACACCTGTAATAACCTTACCTTACATGTTTCCCATGGGAAAGGACCGCCGGTAACGAAATAAAATCAATTCTATAACAAAGTTTCTTTGGCCAATGAGCGCTTACATGACCTTTCACTTTCTAACTAAATTGTTGACACAGGAAAGGATGCGTACATAAATAGTATGCTAATCCTATATTTCTCCAAGGCCACTTTTCTTTCACTCATCGACAGCGTTGTTTGTACCCTCTTAGCTGCAACAAGTGACACATTTGATCTTAACGGGACGTATGCTACGTTTTGCACCAAAAATTCTTGTAATTACTTGCATTCTATAACATGTATGTGCAATTATCTCACATTTCTAACATTAATGGTTGTGCAACCACAAACTTTCAAAAGGTAAATACATATGGCTGACAGCTGTGTTTCCAGCCTTTAAACACACTTGTAAGATGGTATATTTCTTAATAATAATTAATATTAAATAGCTTGGGCTTTGAGAATATTTTTCACAGAAAAGTACGTATACTGTATGGGGATTTCGAGAACAATTTTTACCAGGGAGAGATATTCTACCATTTCTTCACAAATAATCTCCCCTAAGGCATCGCCAAAAACCTCATGGTATAAAAATGTCATGGTATAAGGTGTGAGGTCTTCAAGTTTATTTTTTGATTACGTAGTTAAGTATAATCTTTTGAGAAACGTCCAATTTTACTTCTAGCTCAGACCGAAGACTGTAAGACAGGCGATGGGAGATTCTACCGAGGAACAGTCTCTGTGACCCGCACGGGCAGGACGTGTCAACGCTGGGACAGTCAGACACCCCATAGTCACTCAAGGACACCTGCCAACTACCCTGCATCCGGGCTGGACCAGAACTACTGCCGGAATCCTGACGGAGAAGACACCCTTTGGTGCTACACCACGGATTCCGGAAAGCGATGGGACTACTGTTACGCACCAACCTGTTATACGCCATTCGGTAAGGTTCGATTCTGCAAATTTAAGATTATTCATGATAAGTCAAAATGATATTAAAATGGAATTCTGCGAAATTATAGGACTTTCACATAGTAGAAAAGGCCATCAATTACAATATATTTTCCAATTATAACAATACTAAAATATTAATGAATCATAACAAAAAATGAAAAAAAAAACACAAATCGTGCATATATATACGTTATAGGAATCATGCATATATACGTTATCTTTCAAATATCATTTGGCAAAAGTATACGGTCGTGGATACTATAATGGTACAATGAAAATCTGCAAAATGAAGAAATGGCAAATTGGATAACACAACATTAAGCCGAATGATGTTTACCTTTACAACGGACAAAAAGTAGTTTTCATTTATTATGCAAATGAGGTCCACATGTGCGTATCAGTCTATTGTATTCTTCAAGCAAAAAAACACACACTATATTCAACAGGGATTGTTTATTGACAGTTTTATGTTTTGTTTTATATTGTAGCATTTTCAAATCTATCATGCAAATGAGGTCCTGATTCACATTATTTATGTTAAACATACAACACTTTGCCTACTCACATCACATCCTGAAACCCACGAACGTTTAAAGAAAAAATCTAGAATTGGACAAAAACACATAAAACAAACACACACCAATATAACTCCTGGTGGTAAACGTTTTGAATATATTTTGTACAAATTCATCACCTCTGACCTCTCAGACATTTGGTACATAGTAGTTGTTTTTTTTGTTAACTGTATAATGTAATATTATTAGTTGATGTATTAATTGAGGCTTAATGTGTAATTTACTATGTTGAAAAGTTTTCTTGATAGCAGTTAAACGTGTATGTAAATAATAATTAATGTATTTTATGTAAAGGACTCCAGGAAGAATAGCGATGTATCATCACTAATGGAGCTTCCTAAATAAACAAACAAACAAACAAACAAACAATTGTTCTCCTCACCTTTCAGTTAAAACTTACAAATGCTGCAAGTATGGAATTTCTGACTTTAACCACTGAATGATTTGTTTACGATAGGTGATGAATGCCTGGTTGGACCTAACAGCCGGAAGAATTGCGGTTGGGGCGGCATCGATGTATACACGTGCAGACAGCGGGGATGCTGCTTTGATAGTTCAATATCTGGAACATCTTGGTGTTTTTACAGTTCGAGACATTAAAAAGGTAGGATATATTCATACCGGTGCTTATAAGAATATATGCTTTATTGTTCTACCTACCATTATTTTTTTTTTCTTTTACGGAAAATTTTTATTTTGTGTCCTGTCATTTTTAGAGAATGTATTTCTAGGTGGAAAAAAGAGATGAGCTTTTAGTAAATTCGTAACATAAGTAAGTGGGCTTGACATAGCTTGACACAGTCGTGTTGTTTCAAATGTTTACTATAAGGACGTGTTTATTTTTTTCCAGATGGAGCTCATCTGATCCATTAAGTCGGAAGGTAAAAGGCGCCGCTAATTTCCGTCTCGTAAACAGTAGATGTCATTTGAAACGGTCGATGCCATATCGCAGAACAGCTATCTTTAAGTGTATCAGCCCTTCACAAACACACAGACACAAACACACGCACACACACATGCACACCAGTTTTGTAAGTTGAACACAATGTAATTTATTCATTACTGATGTGCATACATGTAAATATCCGGTTCTTCAGAATTACAATACAATACAATACAATACAATACAATACACATACATATTGAAGCAAATCTATATACTGTCTGATCTTCAGTAAGCAAGGCTGTTAATGTTTGGCAAGTTACGCACATGTACTTAACTCGCAAAATATTCATTACCAAACACACTACTACTATTTTTTGGATCACAAGATGCATAATCATTCAAATTCATTGATTTACAAAACAATGTAATAAGAGCATTGATAATATGATGTAAGAACTGTTATTGAAACAATATAGCATAAACAATATGTAGTATATGGAGACTATCACTATAGACAGTCACTATATCATATATACTACCCTTACTAATATATTAAAGAAAGGGAAAACTACAGCTGATGTAATGGTGTCAAGGTCTCATTCATGAAAAAAATAGCAGTGATGATGGCTAGTTATAAATGTAGCCGATTGGTAATTCATATCTTGGATATCTTCTTTAGTAGGTACTTTTCACTGCTACTAGGTTTTGAAACTTAAATGGGCCTTACCTCACATACAATGGTAAAACACTCCATCCCTGCCTTTGGTTGGGCAATGGTCAGGGAGGACAATAAAGTTACTACTAGTAGTGTGGATTGTTCAATCTAACATCTGAACATGTGTACAATTGTTACCAAGAAGCCCTTATACTCGTACAAGCTCTTATACAAAACGTTTAGTTTCAGTTATCTCTATTGCAAGCCCTCGAACAACAACTTTCACAAATACGCAAAGTTAATATTTTACAGAGCCTTAGGTTTCTCTCAGCGTAACTTTATAGGGTTAGAAGGGAGGTCTATGATTCCTAAGACCATGGCCATGACCAGCGGCAATGGTCAAACAGGACAGGGCCAGTCTCACCATTGGCGATGGTCACTACAGTAGGTGTGGTGTTTGTGTTGGACTCAGTGTTGGTCTGAGACTGGCCCAGTGCCCTGTCTGATCATGACCATTTGCTGGGTCCTTTGGTACAGTTTTCCCATCTACATACATAGGATTTGGCTGTAGGGCAGCTAGCAATGCATCACACATTGGATTTATCATATTAAAGGCTTCAGGTCTAGCACTAGACTGGCCCAGTCCGGCCTGAGCATTGCCACAAGATACTAGTGCTGTGGTGTTTGTGTTGGGTTCAGACTGACCAGATGGCCTGAGACTGACCCTGTCCTGTCTGATCATGACCACTGGTCATCACAGTAGGTGTGGTGTTTGTGTTGGATTCAGTGATGGCATGAGACTGGCCCCGTGCCCTGTCTGACCATTGCCACTGGTCACTACAGTGCATGTGGTGTCTGTGTTGGATTCAGTAATGGTCTGAGACTGGGACTGCTCTGCCTGATCATAACCAGTGGCCACTATAGCAGCCATGTTGTCTGTGATGGCCTGGGACGGAGCCACGACTTTGTACAGGGAATTTGGCTGCGAGGCAGTCGGCCCTGCGCCATAAGATACATTTCCAGCCTCCAACACAGATTCACTGATGACCTGAGGCTGAATTTGCATTGTTTGACAGCTTTGCTATTGTCGGAGATTGAGTGTTAGCCTTTGTACCGTGGCCAGATACAACAACATTGGGATCTAGTCGAAATAGAGGATCCCTGGTTCTTCTCTTGTTCCAGATTGTAAGAATGAAGTGCCAATCAGGACAGCGCCAACTACTTACACAGATAGAGGTAATTGCCCTGAATCATTGTTATGTTGTTATAGGACAGGTCCAGCTAGATTCATATCAAAAGTAAGAACATGGAGTTTTGTAATCTGGTTGTGGTCCAGATATAGATAACTTGGGCCCGGCGTTATTTTTGAAAATACATCAATTGGGATGTAAGTTATTTCGTTCCAACTCATGTCCAAACAATTGAACCAGCCTTCAGCGGGAGGAAAAAAGTCAATACTTCTAATGTTATTTTTTTCCAAGTCCAACCAATTCAATCTCTTATACCGTAACAGCTCAGACCGGTTGACAGCTGTAATATAATTACCTGTCAAATCTAAACGCCTGATAGATGTTGGGAGGCCCTGTGGGATAATGGTGAGGTTCCGGTTGGTACAGTCGCAGCGTGATGGTTCACAGCTGCAGTCCGCCTCCGGCATGTTGGGCTCCTTCAGGATGATGAGAAGGATAATCAGCAAGTGTCGCAGCTTTATTCTCATGATGTCCTGCAACCTAAAAAGAACAACACTTGTTCTCTCCATTTCAATTTATTTTACTTATCTAGGGCAAACCGTAACTCTACATTTTTCTCAAGTCTACCTGAGATGTATCCAACACAGTGATGCATCCAACACAGTAAGTTGTTCTGGACAGCTAGTCCACGCTCGATAGTTCAATCAAATGTACGTTCTTGGATACGCCGAGAGACTATCTAGAACCGCGGCTGATCCTAACACTTTTCCTTTCGGGCATACGTGCTTTTGTTGTTGTTACTTTATAGTCTGCAACAAACAGTTTGAAACTACTGTGGAACTGCTGCTATGAACACAGTTGTTGTCTTTGTCTCCGTTTGAATTATATTACTTTATCCAGGGTGAATAGTAACTCTACATTTTTTCTCAAGTCTATACCTGAGATGTATCAACCACGGTTCTGGACAGCTGCTCCTCGCTGGATAGTGCAATCAAATGTAGTTTTGGATACGCCGAGACTATCTAGAACCTAACAGAACTTATAGGATAAAGAATAAAGTCAGAAGCGAAATATGCTCTGCTGGATACGTTGTAAATCTCTTCTTATCAATAAATTCATGCCGTGAAAATGTCAGGGTACAAAGGCTTAGAAGTAAAAACTTTGGAACAGTCTATGAGTCTTCTTTTAAGGTTAAAACTTAAAAGCAAAATGTGCTTAAAGCTCCATTTTGCTACCGTGGATACGTGCTTTTGTTGTTGTTACTTCATGGTCGGAAACAAACGGTTTGGAACTACGGCAGAACTGTTGATATGAACATGGCTGTGTTGATTGTCTGAAACTGACTGTTTGAATATTAACATTAAGATTTTTTTACTGCGCCAGACGTTTTATTGTGTTTCCGATCGAGAAATCAGCAGAACGATAAACAAGCTTTTAAGGGTGAGAATATGATACTCAACAATAGGTCTAAAACGTTTTAATCAGTCTATTAGTTCTAGTAATGTGGCCTGGTCAATCTGAATTTTCTGGCTCTGGCAGAATTGGTCCCCGGGTGTGACTGAAGTGTCAAGACGCACCACTCCATTCTCCCTCTTTTGAACAAAACTGATTTCCAAACGGATATATCCGTGTGAAAATTGTTGAATGTTCGCTTATGGCTGGGCTTCTTTGATAGATTCCTCCCCTTGCCAACTGTCAGACAAAGTTACAGTCTGCCCGCCTTAAAAGGCATCCAATGCAGTCTTTAGGGCTTGGAAACCCGATTTTTCAAAGCCAATGACTTGAAACCACACTGTCGAGGGTCACCGATGTATATTGACCCTCGTGGAGCAAAAGTTCCCAAAATTCTGACGGAAAATGGTTACTGGAAGGGCCATGGGCAGATTTTTAAGGTTCCACCCAGAAAATAAAGGACTAATCTTGGGATTTGTTTCTGCAGTTTTAAAAGCCCAAAGAATGAAATGCTGACTCCCGTAAATGCGCCAATGTGAAGCAGTATGTGTCAATATCACAAAGATTCCTTTTTTTGTCAGAATATTCCCAGTCTTGCTATCGCATTGGATGCCTTTAAAATCTGCTTCGAAAATGGAACTAAATGAACGTCGTATATCAAACTGCTATCTGCCGATACTTGCCTTCGTACTAAGTATTTACTGGTAGAAACATACCTCTTTAAGCCAGTTCGAGGGGCTTCGGTTGGCACTTTCTCGTGAGGATCTGGTGTAGAATGCCTCAAGCACCGGTTGTTGTCGTCTTGTTGGGTGCGTCCTTCATCAGCTGATCGGTAATGCCGTGTGACAAACAACCCAGGAACTGGTCTTATGTAAGAGGGTGGTTCCGATGATTGTCTGGGACTTGCTATTTGAATAATACTAATGTTTATGATCACGATGAAAAATACAACCATGACTCTTGTCTTGATATAGATTGTATCTTACCTGATGTTGCTGTTTTCATACCTGAACTTCATACCTGGATTGCAAAATGCAAATTTGATGAACTTTCAGAGTCTGCGTTTGCAGTCTATTGTTTTAACATCAATTATCAAGATTTCTCACAGTTATGTGCTCTGCGACCCTTCTTAGGACATCCTGTTATGTTGTAATAAAATGTAAACAGAACTATCCATTCGACAAATGTGACGTTAGCGCTACATCAGAACCAGTATGGTAACGTGGACCGCATCTCATTCAACTCGTAAGCAAAGATATGGCGCTCTATCTTAAAGCTGCCACTTTCTACCAACTGAGGCAAGTCGTTATCCAGAGTAGTGTCCAACAAAGTAATCCTCCCTTTATTCTTCCGCATCCGGTCATCATCTAGCTTGCTTAAACTGATGACAAACACACACACACACACACACACACACACACACACACACACACACACACACACACACACACACACACACACACACACACACACATCTGGCGAAGAGACACCTGGCGATTCAGACGTGAAGCACAACTTTACCAATCTGACCTTGACATGCCTTGCTCCACACATACAAGTAGCAAATATGACTTGGGCTTATCAACCAGAAAACACACATAACGACACAAAAAACATCAATGAAAAGATTGTCCAGAACAGTTCCATCAACTTTCAGCCAATCCTAGAGTCAGCAAACGGCAAATATATACATTTAACGGTCTGCTCGAATTGTTTGACTATTGGAAATCTGACAACTATTTCTTTCAGCCTACTTAGTTTTTTTTACTACAAATTGTATATTTAAATGTCTAATGTATTCTAGTCTTTTGAACTTCATCTCGCTTCATAGTACATGTAATTGTATAAATGTACGATTTATTTTACTTGTTAAGTCCCGAGTGCAAATGTGGGCATCCAAATGAGACACCAGATCACTATTTATTACACTGCAAATCTTATAATATTGAAAGGACCAAAATGTTGTTATCCATATCTTGCCTTCATCTTGAAAACATGCTTCCTTCCGACCCACTCAACGCAAACGACGCCACATTATGTTCTTTACATGTACTTCTTACAGGCAGCCCCTCCCTCCCATACCCTACTAACTGCCGTATCTTTGATATTGTGTTTAACTATATCCACCACTCTGGAAGATTTGACCAATCTCATTAATGTTATGCTATAGGTATTGGTGCGCCAGCCACTTTCATTTTATGTTTATGTTATACTTTATGTCATCTCTATGTCAACATTTGTATTATGTTTTATGAGCAGCGGATTCACATAAGCACAACAAGTGCTTCCTATCCAATGCTCAAAAATCCATGTGAATAAAATAAAAATAAAATAAAATAAGAATCCGAAGTGGGGAAATTTACTTAAAACATGTCCGAAAAGTATGCATCTATCACTGTCATATAAAGGACAATCTATGGTAGATATATGGTAAATATTTAGAAGAGAAGAGAGCAGCACGACATGGCGGCATCCACCTTCTTCAGCTCCCCGACAGACAGCTCGATACGCCGGAACCTCGCCAGCTTCTCCGCAAAAACCTGGAACAGTAAAGCCTCGGTCACAACCCGCCGTGCGTGCTTTTTGTCCGTACGTTTTATTGAGAGGCCACGTCTGCTTCGTCTTTCTGAAAACGTGGTGAAGGAGCGGCGTCGACGCACGTCACTCGAACGGTTGCGCAAGAAATAAGAGTGTGGTCTGCACGCCACGTCTGACCGCGAGCGGTTGCGTGCATCGTTCGTTGCGCGAGTGGTAAGCGAGTTGTACGTGCTTACAACGTACGATCTCTGTGCGATTGAAACTTTACCGTGCTTCTTATAACGTACGGTACGTACGGGGCACGCACATCGCTCGTACTCACACGTACGGGTGGTGAATCCGCAGACCGCAGGCAGAAAATTTTTTTACATGCACTTAAAGTTCTACGGCGTGTCTGCGTGCTCCCAAATCCGTAGGATTCCGTACGGAGGCGGTACTCACCACGCACGGATCCCGTTTGCCCAGGCGTTGAGTAATATGTGGCAATGTGTGGAGCAACAGTATCATGACTAGATAGAAGTCCTACTTACCTTAGAGCTGTTTGGCCACTCGTCCTCCCTACAGTGGAGAACGGTCCCGTTCACATGGATACAGTTCAGACCCAGATAGTCCGGAATCCAGACAGGCTCATAGGTGTATTTGCTGGTTTTACGTATGATCTGTAAATAGACATGTATATACATGTGATATGTTACACATACACATACATGTACAGTGCAATGAATCGTGTTTTTCTAACATTTAACGTGACGAAACAAAACGAAATCTTACATCAAGTTGATTTATGAAACACCTGCCAACCTCGCTCCCGACCTACTCCTGAGTCCTAACTATTTGTGTGTGTATGTGTGTATACATGTATGTGTGTGTGTTTGTGTGTGTGTGTGAGTATTTGTGTGTGTGTGTTTGTGTGAGTGTGTGTGTGTGTGTGAGTGCGAGTGTGTGTGTGTGTGTGTGTGTGAATGTGAGTGTGCGTTTGTGTGTGTGTGTGTGCGTGTGTGTGTTTGTTTGTGTGTGTGAGTGAGTGTGCATTTGTGTGTGTGTGTGTGTGTGTGTGTGCGTGTGTGTGTTGTGTGTGTGTGTGTTTGTGTGTGTGAGTGAGTGTGCGTTTGTGTGTGTGTGTTTGTTTGTGTGTGTGTGCATGCCTGTGTGTATGTGCAGCGTTCGGGAGGCCATGCATATTTACCTCCCAAGCCTTCCTTCCCTCCTTATGGTCCCCTATAGCGATAACCCCCGGTCCGGCGCAGCAGACCACGCCTTTCAGGTGGAACTCTGGCGGCTCTACCGGGATGGAGATCACGGGGTACTCTGGGAAGGTTTCCGCTAGGATTTTCCGACCGGCTTTGTTCGACTGTGTGGAGGCACCCACGAAAAATTCTTTTCCTGTTAAAACAGAACAACGTATATGTGTGACAGGCTCTTACTGATGAACGACTGCGTGTGCAAGATGTGGATTAGTTTGAGGAATGAATCCCTATACTGTACACAGAACAACGTATATAAAGAGAAATATATTGCAAGTTACTAAGCATTCTTTTGCTGTTAAAACAGAACAACGTAACGTATATATTAAAGAGAAATATATTGCAAGATCTTAGCCTTAGAGGCTAATTGTAAATAACGCGCGAACGCTAACGAAAACCGTGATAACCTACTTGGCGATGGCAATTCCCCCCAAAAGGACAACCGATTTCATTACATGTATGTAACAAGTTTGAACTGAAATTTACAACACAAGATATTGTACAGTAACTTAACTAAATTTCCCAATTTCGTGTGTTGTACACAGATGAACGTTCAAGATACGATTTCACGGTGTTTAGTGACAAACCTGTGAATATGACGTCACCTCCTTCCAGTGTTGCTCCCTTATCTTGAATCCTGTTTATCTCCAGACCCAGATCTGTCAAAAGCTTTCCGACACAGTCGACCTGAAGGACAATACAATGAGTTACATATGTTTAAATGCCGTATCCAGTTTTCATTTATTATTCATGCTTAGGTTGATAGCTTTTTACGTGCTAAAAGCCATTAAAATCCATCTCGAGTCTCAGCCATTCCATTTCAAAATGTAAAAAACAAAACAAAAACACCAACAACAACAAAAAAAGTTCCTGCAGTTCTAATGCAGATACATTCATTACGACCGATTCTGATCATTATCAATCAAATATCATTGACATGTCGTGTTATAGAACACGAAAGGAATAGAAGAGAGTTCTGCTGTAGTACTTGAGACAGCTGCTAGAATGCCAACGCGCGAACTAGTACGTTCTGTTTTGCCAACACGGGCGTTCTCTCTCTCTCTCTCTCTCTCCTCTCTTTTACTCCCTCTGTATCTCTCTCTCTTTCTCCCTCTCTCACAGCCAGTTTCAGAAAATTTAGACTATGGTTTCATGCGCAAAAATCTGGATGGTATCGTGGTAATGTATCCAGAAACCTTACTTCTTTCCGGCGTGTCTTGTCTGCGGGCCTGGTCACCAGCGCTCTGTTCCCGACCACCACACAGGTGTCCTCCACGAACGGGCAGTCCGGAGTGGACTCGTCCGCCGGTAGGACGGTCACCTCCAGCCCCAGGTCCCGCAGGGTTTGCGTGTACCGCCCGTGCTCTTCTCGGGCTTTGCTGAGGTCTATTATGTCCTTTGTTCGTCTTTGCTTCCATTTAAAGGCCTCGGAATGGTCCCGTATGGAGTCAGGAATCTGACGGACTATGGCCCTGGAATACTGTGGTAGGCTGTGGCCTTCCGCCATCGGTTTTAGTATGAAATTCTGCGATTGAAAAGGATACTTGGCAATATCGTTACATACGCAGTGAGAGAGAAAACCCTGCGTCGGACCCGATGTCCCGGCGGCCGATGGTTTGTCGTCCCGGAAGTGACAATGTACGGCCTCCAGTAGAGCCTAACGGTGTCATGGGTCATGACTGTAATGCATGTAACAGTCGGTAGAGGTCACCATTTACTTGATTTAGCCTCTCAGCAGGCTCATCGACTGGGGCTTTCTAGGGCTTTAAAATATACACGTTTACTGTATATTTTCCCTAACTAACTGGGTATTCAGAATAACAGACACCGTTTTGATTCAGTAGGCACATATACACAGCCAGCACCACATATCACTGCATCTCTCTTGATAGTTATCTCATGCATGGCCAGACCACTGTGGCATGTCAACAATAAGACGGAAGATGTCCTTGGTTACATAAAGCCACGTAAGGTCCCCATACAGGCCCTCCTACTAGATCCTCGAATTTCCGTACTGCTTTGAATTAAAACTTCTTAGTTCATATCCGGGTTCGAATTGGTAGACATGAAAATCACATAAAAAGTTATACAAATCAATCGTTAACTACATGTATAAGCCCCGCCTCCTCCTTGTATCGCTTCTTTGCCATAAATAGTATGTAAATAGAGTGTCTGGTAACACCTGGTCTTTGTTATGCAAATGAGCTGACGTCACAGGTCAGACGACCGACACCGGAAGAAGACTCCACTAGTTTCTGAAGAGTCAAAACATCGGTAGCAGTTAGGAAGTGACACATATTTTACCTCGAATAGCCGCTCTTGTAGACTCTGTTGTCTCAGTAACAGATTGTTTGTCAGAAGGAGAGGACGGAGGATCCATCTTGAAGAAAATTTTTCGGTAAGAATGTTTCGTTGTGATTTTTTGGGATAAATTCTGCGACACTTGTGTGGTGTATCCACGCACCTGATGCTCCGAAAACTTTTTGCAACTTTGGCGCTGCTTTTCACTGTTTTCTCGTCTTCTGTATACCAAGTTGGGTTCAGAAGGGCAAGAACGAGACAGATTTGCAATATAAAGGATGTTTCTTCACAAACTGAGGAAAACATGGGGTAAAATAAACTAAAAACCATTTGCAGACGATAGTTTTAGAGGACGGATGAGTTGCAGAAAAAATGGCGGAAACTAATCCTCAGGCACGGGTGTTTATTTTGGGTGAAAAATAGTCACGACTGCTGAGGTGCCCATGATCTTTGGTCATTAGAGCTAGTATTTTGTTACGTGACAGCTTTGCTATTGTCGGAGATTGAGTGTCACAGCTTTAAACACACACTTTAGATTTGAGGCAGTCAGCCCCGTGCCATAAGATATATTCTTAGCATCTAGTGATTCTGGTATGGGCTGATCTGTTTGATCATGACCCCTGGTCTTTACTGTAGATGTGGTGTTTGTGTTGGATTCAATGATAGCCTGAGACTGACCCTGCCCGT